TTGTTCTCGTTGGATCTCACATAATCTGACAAAATCTCAAAAAGATGCTCGTGTCGATTGGTGCAAACAAATGCTTAAGAAATACAATGGCGGTGCTTCAAAAGACGTGTATAAGATTGTAACAGGTGACGAATCATGGATCTATGCGTATGAGCCGGAAACTAAACAGCAGTCGACTGTATGGGTGTTTCAAGATGAACCAAATCCAACAAAAGTTGTTCGCGCTCGAAGCACTTCGGAACAAATGGTCGCCAGTTTTTTCGGAAAAACTGGTCATGTGGCAACAGTGCCTTTAGAGGAACGTAGAACGGTTAATTCTGAATGGTACACAACTATTTGTTTGCTGGAAGTCTTCAGTGAAATAAGGAAAACAAACAAGCGCCGCCGGATCATTCTTCATCAAGACGATGCCAGCTGTCACACATCTCATCTAACAACCGACTATTTGAGCACTCAAAAAATCGAATTAATGGGTCATCCGCCGTACAGTCCTGATTTGGCACCAAATGACTTCTTTTTGTTCCCCAACGTCAAGAATAAATTGCGTGGACAACGATTTTCGTCGGCAGAAGAAGCCGTTGATGCGTTCAAAGACCATATTTTGGAGGTGTCTCAAGCGGAATGAAAAAAATGCTTTGACAAGTGGTTCGAACGCATGCAAAAGTGTATAGATCATAAAGGAGAATATTTTGAAAAACAATAAATGACAAATTATTGTTTTTTTATTATTATTTTTATTATAAGGCTCAAAATATAAATAGTGACCCTCGTAAATAAGTAAATTTCTCTCATAAGTTTTTTAACAATTATTTCAAATTGTATAAGCGATCCTCAAAGTGTTATATTATTAATATCTATGGATTTAAGTTTTCTCCTTTTCTTTGTAACTAGTTTCTTGCATAAAGCAGGATTCATTTTCAGCCACAAAAAATCTATAAGTATTATTTAGTTCCGTTTGTGATCTAAAATTCATGTCAGATAGTGTTACATAACATTGTCGATTTGTATATTATAATTATTTAAGAATGTATTTTTCTTTTGTATATTTGTATATATTGTAATTGCAGACGTTTAGGCCAAAGAAAAAGTTCGCTTACGGAACATTGCGTTACTCTTTACACAAGCAAGCTCAAGCTTCTCTCAATTCTGGAATTAATCTAAGATCTGTTGTTAAATTGCCTTCCGGAGAAGATATGAACGATTGGATCGCCGTTCATGGTATAGAAAATGTTCAATAATAATATAAATATTTGGAATTATATAAAAATTTTATTAAAAATACTTTAATATGTGTTTTCTTGGTTTTACTGTCACTTTTATATTGTATTTGACAAGTAATATATTTTTTATACTTTAATCTCACTTTTAAAAGCATCTTTACATTGGGAGAATACTGCAATTATGTTTTTCTGTCTTTTTTAGTTGTAGATTTTTTTAATAGAATAAATCTTATATATGGTACTGTATCCGAATATTGCGATTCAGCGTCTTGTCCAACAATGAGCGGTGGAGCACGTTTCGAATATTTGTGGGCAGATGGTGAAAAATATAAGAAGCCAACAGCATTACCAGCGCCTCAATATGTTACTCTTCTTATGGATTGGATTGAAGCTCAAATAAATAACGAAGCGGTTTTTCCAGTATCAACAGGTTTTACATCTGTTTTACGATAGGGGAGACCGGGGACAAAAGTAACACGGGACAATAGTAACATCGTTAATATTTCTTAAACTATAACAGATATATGTATGTGGCCGCGTGGTAAAATTCTATAAACAGATAGGCATTGAATCATTCGTTACATGCTGATTTTCGCGGAACGTGCACAAGTGCAGAAGCAGAAATTACTTTTTTCATGCATTAAGTAACTTTTCTTGCGTGCACAAAATTCAAAATATTTTTTTCCCTTATAACAAAGGTATAATGTATTATCTTAATATGTTTTAATGATTATCTATGTCGATGTTTTTCACATTTGAGTTGATTTTTACTTAGGTTTTTATTTAAAAAATTTACTATGAATCGTAAAATACCATTAGGGAACAATAGTATATCGATATCTGGGGTCAGTTATTCAATTTTATATTGTAGAATCTGGATTTTGTAGAAGGACTATTATTTTGGCTTACTTAATAGCATTATCAGCGGCTTTTCTATATTTGGCAAATACTGTTCGTAATCGAACCATGGCAAAATATATCCAGGATTTATTTTTTGACAACTACATCTATTCATTGTTGGATACTCAGCGATATTTGAATGTTTGGCGTAAATCCAGGATCTACTTTCCGTCGACTACATATAACTGAAATCAGGCCTGAACAACGAAGGTCTAGTTTTAATAATTTTCATTGTACTTTTATAATTAGTGATCTATGTTAATCTATTTAGTTAGTCAATCGCTTTTATATATATACTTGTTTATAACTTTGAAAATGACCCGAAGGTGGTCGAAACATTAGTTTGATGTAGACATATTTTTAACTTGATGCAGACATATTTTTTTGTTTTTACTTTTATTTTACTTAATGTCAACTTTAATGTATCATATGTACATTAAAATTTGTTTTGTTTTGGCTCGTAGCTTTTTTGATTATATTTTGTTTTATTTGAATTATTTGAGCCTTTCTTTGTTATGTATTTTTATTAATAAAACCAATAAAATAACTATTATTTTGCTCCTTATGCTCCTTATTATTTACAACTATTATTTTATTTATAAATAGTATGGTACAATTGCCTCTCTCTACTGTTAAAATCGTCCCAGGGGTTGGGACGGTTGTAACAAAATTCCTCATAGCCTTTAAATAAACATAACTTTTTTTCTAGTTACATTGAAAAATTGAATCAAATAAAATTTTGTAGCTAAATAAATTCTACATTTAAAGGTATATATTTTTTGTAATGTAAATATTATATTTTAACTGTTATAACATTTAAAAATCAAAATGTTACTTTTGTCCCCGGTCTCTCCTACTATTTAATATCGATTTAGTGACTCAATTTAATCCTGTTTCATGTTTTTTACATGGATGTATAAATTTTTTTATTACAGATGTGCCGTTTCCCAAAACGTTTGTGCCACTATGTAGAAAAATCTTGACGCGACTTTTTAGGGTTTTTGTCCACGTGTACATCCATCATTTTGATCGCATTGTAGCAATAGGAGCAGTAAGTATATTAATATCTGAAGTACTTTATTATTTAGTGTTTTACTACATCATAGAGATTTTTGAGTAATATTATGATTTTAATCAAATAATAAAAGGGCAATGATCCACGGCAATTAGTATTAGTACAATAGTATATTTAATATCTACAATAGAGTTTAATTAACCTTTCATAGTCACATTTTAGAAAAGCCACACGATGGTTCCTCTGACAAGGGAAGTAGTCGAAGTGATAATCGCCAATTGGAATGAATTATATACTGTTGGAAAGGTCTTGCCAAGTAAAGTTTAGTTGTACAATACTTCGCTTAAATGGCGCTTCTAGAGGACGCTATGTGCAATAAAAGTTATCAGTTTGGTAAAACTCTGGTGTCCCTACACTCTTCTGAATCAACTCCGATGACCGTGATATTGGCATATGTTGTCAAGGTCATGACCTTGAATGACTTCCAACATGTTTTAGTCGTCGCTTGTTACCCGTTAAAAAGTTATTGACAAAATAAGTTTTATAAATGGAATGTATGGAAGACGATCAACTGTAGCAAAAATATGTAACAAGTATTGCCGATATTTTATTATGGATACTCTAACCTCCGTTATTTGCTGGGGAAATATTAGCACGACCCCAAAGTGCACCACAGGGAGGCTACAGTAAGATTTTGCACTTCATTTTTTTTATTTTTTATTGGTTTATAATCCTCGAATATCGCACTTATTTTCGGTACCTTTGGATGACACACATGGGTCATTCGTGTTTGACTCGATTTTAAGGCTCTTAAAGTGCTCGTAAAAATTCACACTTATTCTTTAAAGTCTCTATTAAATTATCCTGCTGTGCAAACATTAGAAAAAATGTTTAGAAAAATTATGGAAATTATTTTCTGTATCAGAAAAAGAAAATAATTCAGTTTTGATATAAAAATTGTAACATTGATTTTTGAAAAAAAAAAGTAGTTTTTGATTTTATTAAAGTACAAAAATGATTATTTTTAATGCATGAACACGAAATACCCATGTGTGATGTTCAAGAGTTAATTTTTTACTTTTAATATGTTTTTTGGGTGCCATGTTAGATCCGCTATTTTGTAGCGGGACACAAGAGTTTTACCAAACTGATAACTTTTATTGCACATAGTGCCCTCTAGAGGCGCCGTTCAAGCGAAATATTGTACAGCTGAACTATACTCGGCAAGACCTTTCCAATAATATAATTCATTCCAATTGGCATATATGAGTCTCGTGAGACCACTCGAGCGGGTCAGACGCGCGTTTCGCTTCGTTTCGGGTGTTACGTCACATCAATCATATTTTTTAAAAGCGTGGCCGGCTTCGACTGTGCAATTGCATTACATCACCGATAGTCCCTTTATTCGTTTGGACGTACGTCCGTGTGGCGCCGAAGCGTCGTAGTCACAGGCGCCCAGTGTCTAGAGGGGTGCCTTCCATATTTACTTTAATTACATCATCTTTTGTTCTACTCGCCCGGTTCGTGGCTGGTGCATTGCATTCCAATTTACGATTTATTCAATTACGCGGACCTCAATGGCCCAGTTTAAGCCGGCATAAGGCTGTCGGGCCAATTTACTAGAAGACAAGATAAGACATTTCAACTGGCGATTATCTCTTCGTCCGCTTCCCTTGTGAGTTAAAATGACCCGACCCATCTTTAAAGTGTTACCAAATCGATAGTACTAGTTGCAATGATTTAAAAAAAATACAGTATATAATTTCATCTTTTATGAAAATGGAACAATGGTGTTTTAATGAAAAATTTAATTTTAATACTAAAAGAAAGTCGTAAACATGTTAAGTTCGGAAAAATACTTTTTTACCTAAAAAAATTATAACTTTTTAAATTTGTAATATTTTCAAATATAATTTTAGCCTGGTACTCTTGAGATGATTTTTAAAAAAATAGTATGGTTACATGCGTTTCAAAAAAGATATTTATTTTGGAGGTAGAAGATGGTCGTTTTTTAGGTGTAAAAAAAGATGTTAAATTTTTGGGTAAAAGGCTATTTATGGGTTTAAGTTATTATTAATGTAAAAATTATTATTATTATTAATACTGAAGACAAATGTAGGTGAAAAACGTAAAATACAAAAAATATATAGAAAACGTTACTCTTTGTTACAGCAATTTCAGTATATAGATAGAGTCTGCTCTCTAAATCTGAATCAGTGGATAATAATCGATTTAGTACCAAATATGATAATCTTAATTAATGAATGAAATGTGATATCACTAACCTATAGCGACCCTTGCTTCTGTGTATAAGTATAGCACATTTAATGTATATGTATTGTAAGATTGGAGTTACAATGTGCTAGAATGTGCAAATATCGGTATTTAGCTATATAATACTCAAACTTCTTTTCTTTTATATGATGAATTTCACTGATTATCATGTGCTAATATGATATGCTGATAATTCAGTACTATGCCAGAAGTATGCCACTTCAGTAGATTATCTACTGATTCAGATTTAGAGTGTGTTTATTATACATAGGTCGTAGACACGACGGACATTCTTCCCTGATCGTTCCTTTTATCCTTCCCAAGTAGCATATACGAAGGCGTTACGACCGCCTTTTGCGCCCTACGCTGGAATTTACTTTTGCGCCCCATCACAAGGATTGCTAAGTCTCTGAAGCACCACTCCCCCGCCAATTGCAACGAACCAACAACTGAAAAAAAAAAAAGGAATTTCCACCAATTTACATAACACAGGAATACGAATACAATAAAGGGCATAGTGGAATAAGCATGTAAAATCTGCCCCCGCACCAATCGAGCTCAAATTGGTGTCATTAGTTGGCACTCCTAAGATGTAAAACTTCCCCAAATATTAGCCTCGAAATTGCATTTTTGGGGGAGTTATGGAGGGGGAAAGCGAAATAAAAAAAGTGGTTTTCTTAGGAAACGACTGTATCGGTTTTTAACGAAAAAAATATATTTTGTAAACATCGTTCGGATAAGTTGAAAAAAATTTTTTGAAATTTTTACGATAAAAACAAAATTATTAATAAATTTTTTGAATCTTTATGAATTTTTTTTTGATATTTTTGAGTGACCACTTTTATACTTCATAAAAATAATCTCTAGACTCTCTACTTTAACATATATATTTTTTAAATTGATTGGAGTGGTGGAATATGGTTAAAAAAAAACTATTATTTGCACAACGCCGTGCCAATTGGGCGACCGCGATCCTGATGCGTTGCAGCGCATGGCGGCTGTTGCCATGGTACTATATACTACCCTTGTTGTAGTGTTGCAATGTTTAATTGTCAAGTAAATTGATACAAAAATTTTATTATTGTCTACACAATTATTTAGTGAACATTATAATATAATAATATATAATAGTATATATTTCCATTAAGGGTACATTCTGGTGTAAAATTTTCAAAAAATCGATTTTTTATGCATATTTCGACTCGTACAACATTTCAAGAATACGCTGTCAAAATTTCAAAAATTCGAAGAATTAACAATACTGCAGAAAAAAATTTCTTTTTTACAGCCAAATGTTTCAGAAAGTTGAAAGCTTACTTTATGGACCAAGAATCGCTCATTAACGGTAAATAAAACAATGAAAAATTACAAAAAAGGCTTTTTGGAATCGGTGCTCTAATGATTGCGCATTTAATTTGATTAATCGAAAAAAGTCTTCTATAAATAATCTCTTTGTCGAACGTTTCGGCTAACTTCTAGCCTTCATCAGTGAATGTATCAAATCAAAATCATAAAATTCCGTGATTTCACTCCGACATCAAATTTTCCATAACCAGTTAATAAGCTGGATGGTCACCGATGTTTGACCTTAAATATAAAGAATATTAGAGTCGAAACTCATTATGTAACTTACAGGAAATGTGGAGATTCACCTCGGGCGTCCGTCATATACAAATTGTTACTGCGCACCATAATTATCGCAAAATACAAAACGACGATACTTAAATAAATATAATAAAATGTAACACATTGGTGATGTTCATGCTGCGGTGTCACTCGTCGTAATGACAATATCTTATTTCTATCTATGGTCTATCAGTGGTCGGTCAAATAACAAAAATATGAAGAACTAAGTAACTCGGTTTCTTTGTTTAAATTAATACCGTTCTTTTGTCGCTTGATGTTTATCATTTCTGATATCAGTCTTTTATTGTAATTACGTTCTGTATCTAATATTTGAACTTTATCCCAATTAAAATCATGATTGTGAAGCGTCCTATGATTCGCAACAACCGATGGATTAGACTTGTTTCTATTGATGTCATTTTTGTGCTCTGAGATTCTCGTTTTTAATTGCCTACATGTTTGTCCAACATAAGACGCATCACAATCACTACAATCAATCTTATATACAATGTTCTTTTTGCAATCTGCAGGAAGAGAATCTTTTTGTGCTTTTATCATTGAACTGAGTTTATTAAGGCTAAAAAACTAGAGTTTTGTATCGGTATCTTTAATGATGTTTCTAAATTTTTCCGAAATAGATTGTACATATGGAATAGTGAACCAACTCGTTTTTTCTTTTTCTATGTTTTTATTTGATGAATCATTATTCCTATTATTGGTTTGATTGAGAGTTTTCTTATTATTTAAAACTTTAATTCTTTCTCGTATTATATCAAAAATAAAATTTAGTGGATAATCGTTATCTAATAAAATTCTAACTACCTGTTCCATATAATTTGATGGAAATATTTTATGGAAATGAGGGTGTGAAATTAAGAAAACTTTATCAACCATCCCAATAACAGTTCCTTTTTTTTGGGATATCGGGTGTTGAGACTGGTAATTAAGATATCTCCCAGAAAATGTAGGTTTGTGATATATGTCAAATTTGATGACATTGTTAGAAATAATATAATGGTGGTATCTAAAAAATTGATAGTTTTATTGCCAATTTCATATGTGAATTGCAATCTAGGATGATAAGAATTAAATTTTTGTAACACAAAGTTGGCTTCAGTTGAAGGGATAACCATGATTATGTCATCAATGTATAGTAATAGAAAGGGATATCAAATTAAGAGTCTTCAATACTTGTTCCTCTAAGTCCTGCATTACAATATCCGCTAATATTGGAGATAATGGGAAACCTATAGGCGTGCCGAATTTCTGTTTGTGAATCTGGTTATCAAAAGAAAAATATGTCGTATTGAAAACATAATCTATTGCTTTAAGAAATTCGTTCTTAGGCATGTTACACTTTTTAGAGATAAAGTTTTCAACATTTTTTAAAGCTAAATTTATGGGAATGTTAGTGAACAACGATACAACATCTAATGATATTAAAATAATGTCTTCATTTAATTTTTTATTATTAAATTTGTTAACAATATCAAAGCTATTTTTCACGTTGCTTGAGGGAGTGGGGATACTTTTTTCAATTATTTTATGTAAAAATGTAGCAAAATTAAATAATGTGTTGTCCGTAGATGAAACTATAATTCGCAACGGATATCCTATTTTATGTACCTTTGGGACGCCATATACTCTAGGCAGTAAGCGTTCGCTAGTGTTAAGTGCACGATATGTAGAGTCATTGATAAACTTCGAACCCTTCCATCTCGTGAGAATATTCTTTAAACCATACACAAGGGCTAATGAGAGTATAGTCGCTGTAAATTTTGCGATGAATAAGTTTATTAATCGTTAAAATTCATACGTTTCGGCATCCATTCGAGCCATCATCAGTGCATCTTAGCCTTTACAATAATATTAATTACTGACCATTATTTGGCTCCACGAGAGTGGTCACTCCTTCCATCAACATCAATACGTGACAAAAGATTCAAAACACAATTGGCAACGTTCGAGGATGTAGTTCTATAAATAGAAATAGACGCTACCAAAAAATTCAATACAATTATAAAAATACCAATAAATAAGACTCACCCGTAAAGCCAAAAATAATCAGCAAATACTTATTAATACCATTAAATTAAAGTTATAACAAAAACCGCAGTCAATATACAATAATTATCAAATTCAGATCTAATTGAATCGTCAGTTATGAATACGTGGTACATTTTATGTCGACTCATGTAACAACGAACATTCGTATGATTATTCCCACAGTAAACCCGCTCGAATTATACATTTATATAGATCGGTAAATAACATTTATGATGTGTAACAAAACGGTAAAGACAACAATTAAAGGATACAAAGAGACTGTCTTACCGAGCAATGATAACATGAACTATATAATAATAAAGATAAAGACTTCGAAACGACAATCGTTACAAATTATTCAGAATCGAGATATACGCATGGTGTAGAAATTCTGTGTCAGACTGTAAGTTTAAACCATTTTTTTGTAATTGTATGTGCACCATTTCTGATATTCGTCGTTTAAATAAAAATCTTTCGTTATCCATAATCTCTATATTGTCCCAGTCGAAATCGTGATTATAATTAAGTCTATGTTCTGTAATTACCGAATGATTATTAATATTTTTTCGAATATCATTATGATGCTCATTAATCCTCGTCTTTACTGTACGTTTTTACTGTACGTCTTTACTGTACGTTTAGTCTGACCAACGTATGGAGCATCACAGTCATTACACTTGATTTTATATACTGCATTCTTTTTAGACATATTCGGTACCGGATCTTTATGTGTTTTTATAAAACAGTTAAGCTTATTGAGACTAAAGTAAGCAAGATTGACTTTATAATCCTTGGTAATGTCTCTAAATTTATCCGAAACCTTAGTTACATAAGAGAACGCAAACCACATATTGTTTATTATATCTGTGCCATTATCATTATCACTGTTTTGCCTCAACGTTTTTCCATGTAATAAAGATTTGAGACGATCATTCATTACATTAAAAATAAAATCCACCGGATAGTCATTATTCAAAAGTGTCTCTATCACAAATAACAAATTCTTTTTATGGTATTTAGGTATTTAGGTTAAATTTAATAAGTTAATTATTGCATCATTGTGATATATGTATACTAAAGAAGAACTTAATTATCATCTTTCATACAGATCACAACGTGGGAAGTGTTAGCTGCTGAGTTGAAATTCGCCGTGAACATCTTCGCAATTACGAAACCCGTTAAAATTACTAAAAGCAGCAACAGTAACGTAAGTTCTAGGAAGGATGGATTTGACAGCGCTTGATCTATTGCTGATTCTTTCTTATATATTGATGTGTTCGGTAAATTCGATAAAAACCATAATAGAAACAAATGTGTGTGTGATGATCATGAAATTAATTAATTATTGCCAAGAGAATTTAAGTTTAACCACAAATTTAAGTTTAACCACGAATTTTTTAAATAATACAAGGATTCCTACATTGAAAGCTCTAATTTATTAAATAAATATTCATACACACCTATATAAATAGGTAATAATGTATAAATGTTAATAGGTAATAAGATGTAAAATAGATAATAAGGTATAGATGTTTGTAAAGATGTATATTAAGCACGGGTCGAGGTATTCACTAAGCTAAACGACTGTGTAAGTTAGTCATCTCTGTATGTATACTTCTCTTCTGTAATATTATTTTAAAATGTTAACGATACCATCTTGTACAACAGTTAATATAAATATAATTCGCCAACAAGCAAAAGTCGGATTTACTTCATCAATTGTAGATATTCAGACTTCAACCAAATTGATCAAGAGATCCTTATTAAAAGCATGCTTAAGATTTAACAAAAATAATTTTATGACATTAATTTTTATTTCTATAAGTAAAGCATGATACAGATTGAAAGTATTCTCTATTGTTAGCATGTATTTAAATAAAACTTTTTTTTAGTATGAAGTGGTGGTTAAATGATTTATTAACCTTGAATAACTTTTGGTTTAGAAAATATGTCTTAATTTATACTGTCAAATG